AAAGCATACTTTATGCAAAAAAGCATTGCATACAATCAGACGTGAAAATGAAGAGGGCTTATTGCAATCGTGCACACTTCTTATACTGAACTTTGATATTTTAATGGAGTCTTGCGTGTTTTTGTTAGTTAATACATGCTTAACATGCATTTTTGTCGAAGGGGGAGGCTGGTGAGTGCAAATAAGGTGGATGTAGTGGCAGCCGTTTCCGTGCCTAAATAGTTACAATTATTTCATTGACACTTTTCACATATTGTGTGCGTACAATGTCCAAGTTGTGGAAATTGTGACGGTCCTAATCATACTCGAAGCTATTCAATCCGCCTCATCCTCTCCTTTCTATCTCTCCTTAAGCCTATCCGATAGCCGTAACCGACTTTTCTTTCAAAGTGAAAATCATGTCAAAATCAGAGTCTCCTCAACAATGTTATCATAAAAAATCATTCGAAACCCTGTTACTCTTCGTATCAATGAGGAAATTTAGTTTGGAGCTAGGAATGTTGAGGACGTGAAGCGTGAGTCTCCTCAGAAACTAGAAATTGCAATATCTCGAAGAAATGCCTCATTAATATCGTAATTTTCGGCATAAAAAGTGAGTTTGATTGCACTGAGTCTAATTGTGATATTTAGAGCCATTTTCACAAAGTTTGTCTTCTCGCTCTGACGTCTGTCAATATGATACACTCGAAAGCGTATCACAGACTCGGCAGAGTGGCAGGACAGCAAAGCGAACATCTCTTCGCACAATGCAATGGTCTTCATTCCATTTCACGTCAATTCAATTCACCAATTCGGTACAACCAACTCTTCCTTCCAGCACCAAAGTCATGTGACAATAGTGCTCCCAGCCGAAATGACACATTCCGTCTTACCGGTGCTGATCGTGGACGATGAGCAGAATTTTCAATACTCCCGTCGTTGGGGTGCAGAAATTGCAGAGGGCCAAGTCGCTTTCAGCGCTCAGGATGCTCAAATCGGGACCGCCGAGCGCCGACGTTCCACAGACCACCACAGCCAGCATCATGACAAGCCAGTGCAAGAGATTGTCAGTTGACATGACTGAATAGATACCAAGTGACAAGGACATTGTGTAAGGGCAGAACTTCATAAAAGAAAGACCACATTCACCAGTTTAGCCCATCCAACTGTACCAAGTGCCGTGAGAAATGCCAGACAATCGTTTCTGTCCCAAAATAGCATTTTAGCCCAGTTACTATTTGGCCCAGTCTCCTCCGCTACCATCAACCGTTTGACTCTAGACAACCGGGACTATCTTCATCCCAAACATTGGCCTGACTCTCCACAACTTGTGATCACATCGCCGTTGCCAAGGTCAATTCTCGGAGATGCAGCCCTGCTTCACAGACTCTGGCAAAGCGAGGGACCGCACGGTTATGGTGGATCAGGTCGAGCACTCGTGACGCCAATTTGGACACTCGGACTCATCTTCCCGCCCCTGACTGCTGTACTCTTGGCGGCGTCAGTTAGATTGCTTCTGCATACAAGTTTGTTTAAACGAAACTTTACAATAGGCCAGAGAAGACATCAGAGCGTAGAGTTCTTATTTTTATCAAGTCAAGTGAAAATGTGAATTTCGAATCAGACAAATATGTTTCTCTTCAAACATGATAAAACGACTTTGCTCAAATAGCTCGAAATCTTTCTCCGGCCTACAAAGTCCTACAGGCAACGCTAGGGATTGCCGTGCAGCAACCACCTCATTAAAGAATTGCTTTTAATTTAATCAAAATTTAATGTATTAACCCATAAAATTTCAAACATGCACTTAATTGAAGTTAAAGGTAAAACTTTTTGCATAACTATGTGAGTTAATTAATTTATATTATATTATATTATATTATATTATCTGCCAAAGCTAGGCACAATTGGCATAAATATATTACTTCAAAAATCTATGACCCGAGACGTAAGCCTAAATACCAATAAGTGGAGAATCATAAAATGCGAATAAGCTCGCTCCCTTGCAAACTTCAAATGCACTACTACTGGTACCAAGACAGTAGTATACTAGTTGGCAAAAAGTTCTTTTAATCTAATAGACCTTTCGGCTTACACGACAGAACAGCAAGTTCTGGAACTTGGACGAGGTGTGAAGTGTGGTTCGCAAGAAATGAAAATATAGCAGCCTCTTCCGGCAAATTCGAGCCCTCGCTATTCATCATAAGCAACCTAACTTCCAGACATTGCGCTTTTCCCACCCGTTTTTCCGTCACATGCATGAAGATTGCAGCATTCTTGGCAATATTCCTGCCAATATTCTTGAATGTAAACAGAAACGAAACAGAAAAATGCGAAATCTTCCAAAATAGTCTAATCACCCGCAATAGAGTAGCTATCACACAATGCCACAAAATGCTGGTTCGGGCAACTTATCCTTACATCCTGTTGTTTACTCAGCCAATGAGGTACAACTACAGTAAGACCTTATTTGGCAGCAATCCCAGGAGACATAAACATTGTTATATCAATGGATATCCACGCCCACGTTAGACAAGACGGCACAAAATTCTACCTCAGATAGGGTTTCCATAATTCATATGTCAAACCTAAATCTGCATATGCACACCCTTACAGATCACATATACAGAATCTCGCTCAGAAGTCGTAAAATGGCACCCAGCCGCAACTTCTACTTCCAGCAGGTGTAGGCGGCGCTAAATAATATAAAATGTACAATATTTGGACATGCCCTCTTAAACAATATGCATTTATTTAATAAGAACAAGGCAATAATCGTTCGCAACAATGATATGCCAGATTAGCACAGTCAAAATAAAGTGTAAATTACCTGTTTCACAACGTTTTCGTAAACAAAACGATAAAAAGCAAGAAGCTGCCATTTTCGTAGCTAGATTACCCTATTTATACATAAACCTACGAATGTGTGCATGTGCGTAGGTACTTTTTGGGACTAACGTACAATCTGCATACTTATTTTAGTCGTGCTGATGGGTGAAATGACGTCATTGACAAGATATGAAGATCGCATTAAGTAAAGGAGAATTTTCAAGTGAACTCTGTACTCATCATAAATGTCTGATTCTATTCTATCAATTCTACCAATGCATTGCGCAGCCTTAAATTACAAGATATACTTCAATTCAGTTTAGCTAATGGTTTCATGAGCCTATTATATTCTGAGTGCGATAGAAAGTGAAGTGCAAATGTTTGCTCATCTTCAGTGAGATTTGGGCTATAATCAGCATCACTCACTAAATCGTACTGGCCCAAACATAGTTTAAAGAAGGAGGGTGCCGCAGAAATGTATGTGATAGGCTGGGATTTTTTCGCAGACTATGCCTGTATGTGGTTGTGATATGCCCGTTTTAATTGTTTTCCTGTTTGACTAATAATGATGCTGCTCTAGATGAGTGCGCGGAAAATGGTGCTTAAGCTTGACTTTAAATTTTAGTTTTTTTTATGTATCATAAAAGGCCGTTATCATCTTCAGAATGGACTGCAGTTTATCCGCAAGACAAATAGGGTTCGAATCGTGGATGTGAAGGTTGATAGGAGGACAATTCTACCCCCAAATTGGGCTTTTAAGGCAAAGCAAGTGTCTCTTCAAGCACACATAATTTTTTCGCGAATTTCGGAGGGATAGATAACTCGATGCACTACTGACCTAATTAGTTAGTAATTGGTTACTATTTTTGAGCTCACGAGAAACTATTGACGAGGTAGTCTGGCTTCGACTGAAAGCTAATCGGCCTATCATGTAATCTGTTTAATTCATAATCCATGCAAAACTGGTTAGCCGTAAGCAAAATCAAGCTTTAAATGGTTTTAAATAGAAGATCTAATACAAAATATATAAATCTCTAGCTGCTCGAATTTCGTGGTAGCATGAGCTTAGATAGCTTGCCCGAAAAGCATACTTAATGAAAAAAATGGAAGGATTATCAATATAAGGCAATAAACAGCAAAATATTTTTTTATTAAATTGCATCACATTCTGTATTTTAAATATCAATTTAAATATATACCACATTACATATTGACAGATAAAAAAAGCAATACAATAATTTTATCAAATATATTGAAAAAATTATGTCAAAATAGGCATAACTTCAAGTTTTGACATAACACGAAACATACGAAATGCCTAGA